TCAAATGCCCCGAAGCATGTGGCTTTAGACGTCTGCGCGAGAACAACTTCGCTCTCGGGTTGCCTTCGACCCAAAGAGGCGAGCTCTGAACGTGAAGCCCGTTTTATCTATTTCTCAACCTTGACAACTTTAAGGTGCGTGGACTTCAATTCCCAGAACTCCCCATCCACCTTGTCTGGACTTCAACTCCCAGGATTCCCCCCCCCCCCCCCGCGCCGGGGTTGTGTGGGGGGAATTTGGGGGGATTGAAGGTCCAGACAAGGTGGATGGGGAGTTCTGGGAATTGAAGTCCACGCACCTTAAAGTTGTCAAGGTTGAGAAATAGATAAAACGGGCTTCACGTTCAGAGCTCGCCTCTTTGGGTCGAAGGCAACCCGAGAGCGAAGTTGTTCTCGCGCAGACGTCTAAAGCCACATGCTTCGGGGCATTTGAAAGATTGTTAAAACATTTGAAGGGGGGGACGACATTTTGGCCCGAGCAGCAAGGGAGAAATACAGACCACGATGAAGTCACGGCTGGAGCCACGGAGGGCCAACGCGGACGATAAGAAATCGCAACGGGCCTGCAATGTAGGCTGGCTTGCAGGAGAACCGTTCAGCCGCTCAGCCCACGTTTGAACGTCGGACCTTATGGTGAAGACAGCGCGTCCCCCCGATGCTCTTGGATTACAACCCCCATGCTGACAGTGGATGGTAGGGTCTGTAGTCCCACCAAAGGGGAAGAGAAAAAGGCCTGGAGTGCTCCTGGCCGTGCCACCTTTCTCCCCTGGACTGCATCTGAAATAGCGCCCGCTGGGTCCCTCCTGCCCGGACGGGTGCATCTTCCAACCCCCGGCCCACGTGCCCGCTGAGAGGATGCCAGCAGGCACCTCAGAGAGACATGCAGTGCACAGGTCTGACGGTGCACGGCCTCGCTCGCATGCCCCGACGTTCTGGGTTGCGGGTTAGATTTCGCCCGCTGCCCGCCTCCGGCCTGGGTTAGTGTCCTCGTGCAGGCAAGCGTTATGGGGGTCACGGAAGAGGAGCACCTCCTTACCCTGCGTGCTCACAGCCATGTGGAGGGTGAAACGGGGGTCCCCCGCACCAGGGGCTGGGTGGGCGCCGGGAGCCAAGCTAGCAGAGGGAGACCCCGGGGGCGCGTCTGAGAAGAGCCCGGAGACAGCCGGGGTGGTCTGCCGCTCTCCTGCGTCAGCAGGGACAAAACACCGTCAGGGCTTCATTCCGTCTTTCCTCCGCGAGCCAAAGGCGGATGGCACGGAGGCCTTCCCACGTTCCCAACAACACCCCTCCAGGGCAGGGTGGGACAGAGAAACGGGGGGGGCTGGACCTGAGTCTCTCTGCTCCATCCCACCCCGGTGGGGCGGGTATATTTGTGAGAAAGGGTCCAGGTGCCATTTCTACATGGAGGGCACAGATGCCCGGCCACCAAGCGCCCATTTGGCTGGTAAACAAGCCTGGCCATTTGCTGCCACCACCAACTCAGAGATGGGCAGCGCCGGATCGATGCCACCCAGAACCGAAAGGCTGAACCGGGGGCCTGTTCTGTGCTGGAAGCCTCCCCTAACCCTGGTTTCTCTGCTGAGCTTTGCGACCGCCAGCCACCTCGAGCTGCCCACGTGCCAGCCGGCCCCCCGAACGCCCGTGTCTGCCCCCACCGGGAGCCCCTTCCTGGCGGGGGGCTTTGGCATCTCCTTGCAGGGAGCAGAAGACAAGCAGAGGAGGTTTGCAAGGATGGGGGGAGGACCCAGGGTGGGCCAGTGCTCCAGAAGATCCCATCCAGCTGAGTGGATCCCGTAAGCTCCCATCCACCTGATCCCAGGAGCTCGGGGAAAACGCCGGGGGAAGATGGAAAGAGCTTTTTGGGGTGATGAGAAATACCCTGCTC